CCCACCCCCCCATTTCCCTTGGTTCTACATCCCTGGTATTAATGGCTCAAAACATAGACATCAGAGTATGAATAAGACATGAGCACAAAACCTGTCAGAGAAGCACAAGTGTGCAAACAATTGACATTGGATGTGGTAAATTGTAATTTTGGACAAGATGTTAAACTAGGCAGTAATAGCATGAAAGAAGGAAACTGCACAGGTGTGTATTTTTGATTGCTTTAAAATGCAAGTTATCTGGAGGGAAGCTTTTGAAATGAAAGATGACCAGGGTAAGAGTTTGTCTGCGACAATACTGGGGCCCCTGTTCACTGCGGTTGGTTTGTACGGCACTTCTGGGGATGGAAGACTGCAGCCAGTCACATCCCTGATGATGTTCAGTAGCATAACCAAACCAGACGGTGACAGGAGATATAATCGCACTTTCAGTAACGTCTCTCCGGTACTACAATGCGAACTGTATTTGGACAGTGACAGATTTTATCGTTCTTTGCGTTCCGCATTTCAGCACATTGGATTTTAAATGGAATAATGGTTAGAATATTAAGTGATAATATTCTAACCATTATTCCATTTAAAATAAGTCATACTTTTCATTTGAGTGAATTTATATCAATATCAAAAGAACTGTATGGGGACTAAAAAGATCATTTATGCAGGTTTAATGGCATTGAAATCCAGCATTTGAGAAGCACGACACATCGTCAGGCAATCCACCTACTTCCTGTACCGGGTCTAATTGCCATTTACGATGAGCTTTATTAGTGTGGTATTGTCTGCAAACTTAAGCAATTTAATCAAGGAGTCGGTGTAAATGCAGTAACTGGTGTGCATGCCCTAATAGCATGGAAAGCCGAATGATCGAGCCCTAGTCAAACATACTGCTCCCAGTGAGTCAGAAAACTGAGAATTAATTTGCAAATGGACTGAATAACATTCACATGTGAGAGTTTGCTCAGTGGGAAGTCAGGAATGATTGTGTTAAAAACGATGAGCACGTCTGGATTCTAGCATATGTGTCTCCAAGACCATGATGTTGCAGGACAATGTGTAGGCCGATGTTCTCAGCATCGTCCACTGAACTATTGGCCTTACGTACAAAAATGCAGGGGATTCAGGGGAGTAGCACTGACGTTTATCAGGTAGCTGAGAATCAGACATTAAGGTTTTGTCCTTATCCCACTGACTGCAGCTGATTGTGTGAAGTTTCCATTTTCTTGCTGGGGTTTCTTCCCAAAAGCCTGAAGTTAGGCTAAGCGGAATCTCTAATTTTCCCATTCTGTATGAATATCTGTGTGTCTGTGTCCCCTTTAATAAACTGGCGTCCTGTCTAAGGCGGGCCCTAGCCTAGTATCCTGCGCTGACTGGGATCGGCTCCAGGTAGCCCTGCAACAAGTTTCAAGATGGATGATGTTAGTGTGATGTGCCTATAGTGATTAAGGCCGGTTATTTTTATCCTTTTTTGGAACAGGTACAGGAAGAGAATATTTGAAACGGTCTGGCACTGGGCACTGGGACAATGATTGATTGAAAATATCTGAAAAGACTGGAGCAAGTTGGCCGGCCCTGTGTTTTACTGTAGCTAGAGATACACAGTCAGTCCCTGCTGCCTTTTTACGGTTCTGCTTGTCAAATAGCGAGTTAAATACGTCCCAGTCTGGGCCAAAGAGTCTATGAGCTGCTCAGTAGCAGTAGTGGTGAATAGGGATTTCTTACTGGGTTTTCTCATTTTAAGGTTTTGGTTATTTGTGTGGAGCTGTTGTACAATCATGTGAGTTTCCACAGGGCTGTTTGTGGTGTATTGCTGTACACATCTTTTGTAGCGTGATAGAAATGATCTAATGTTTGACCGACTGTGTTATTTTATGAGACAACGGCTGCTGTACATGCAAAGCGTTTATAGTATACATGCAAAACTTTATAGGAGAGTAAAGTGGTTTGTAGTTAACTGGCAAAAGCTCTTAATTAACTATTTGCTGTTCATGTAAGAAAATAGCCTGTCTTTTCTTTTGTTGCTGCATATGTGTCTTTGTCAGCACCCAGCAGGCAAGACCTCCTTAGACAGTGCTGAAGTAGGTGTTATGGATGTCTTCCATGTCGTAATAGAACAGAAAGTCATCGTGAAAGCGTATCCTTTAATAGCATTAAGCAAGTAGTGAGCAGTAGTTTGTCCAGGTTAATTTCCAGAGATCTAACAGCATGAAGAAATATTCCTGGTAATGATGTTTGAAAACCACGTCTCCTAAAGCAAATCGGCACGCCCTTTCCCGAAAGTCTCCCTCTTTGGGTCACCGTTGTTTTATTTGTGCCCCGAAACTGTGAGGCCGGCTGGTAGAGGCCTGGGTCTCATGACCTTGAGATTCACGGGAATTTATAAAAACTCCACAGAATAGCTGTGTGAATTTACAGCAGTATTTATGTGTGCATGTGCCCACAATGGACTGGCATCCCATGCGGAGTGTCCCGCTGCCTTGTGTCCTGTGCTACCTGACAGGCTGCATCGCAACCCTGACTAGGATAAGTGGTTGGAAGATGCATGGATGGTTGAATGTTCTACGGAACATTTTATCCAGTGTTTATCCAAACTTCATTAACCCAATTCTATGAAATCACAGCATGTTTTTATGGGTAAAGTTGAATTAAGTTAACGTCCTTGAACATTTGTGTCCCTTTCCCGGCGGCCCCAGCGAAGGACCAGCCCCCTGTGGAGGTGACTCTGTGTGGGAGGACTTGGGACATGGACGTCTGGGGAGACGCAGCAGGCGCGGATCCAGCTTCAGAAGAGGACGTGCTGCAGTCCGCCTTTCCCAGGGACGCGGTAAGGGTGCAGCACTCTTTACGGGGGGCGGGTTACATGAGGGATTCGCGTAATGGCGACCTGGAGGTGGCGTCAGGCCGACCCAGCGCCTCACGCTGTCACTGATGGCTGGTCTAGGTGATGTACTGGGGGGAGGAAGAGCAGGAGGCGACTCTGATGAGGGGGAAGAAGCTGCAGGACTCCTGTCTGACCAGCGTCCCTCCCCCAGGAGGGAACATCTGTGTCCAGGGTAGGTGACCCGGATGACCCTAAATACTGCGAGTGATGCATCATGGGTCAGAAATAACTAACAGCTAAATAAAAATGGAAATGTTAGCTTTTGTTTTTCTGTTATTGTTGTTGTATATTTTAATGAAAGTCATTACTTATTTTGTAAAAAAAAATTTGTGAGATGCCTGTTCTATAAAAGTCTATTTAAATTTTTATTGGGTTATATGAATTATCAGTTTCAGGTGAAATTTTATTAAGCTGTTTGTGATCCTGATCCCCGCACAGGGACAGACGCTCAGGAGAGACTCCGCACTGCACATGGCTTCAGTGATACGGGGACTGAGGGTGCAGGCGACTGCCCCTCTTCAGAAAGATCCAGAGAATCGGGGCTTCAGGACCCTTATACCCGCCCCTGTACTGAGACATCCCCTCCAGCAGGGGGCTCTGCTGTCAGCCGGTCCGCTAAAGGTTTAGCCGAGGAGAAGCCCGAAGCTGACCTGCTGACTTTAGTGGTCGTTAAAGAGGAAGCTGAGATGCAGCCTGTGTGCAGTGAGGAGGCTGCGATAGAGGGGCTTCACGCGAAACCCGGGCACAGCGGCGGAAGGCCGCGAGACGTCAAGGCGGAGGGCTGGGGCTCACAGCAGCATCGGCCATTAGACAGACAAGATAGAGAGAAGCTCCCTGAGGACGCGAGTGCGGAGAAGGAGCATGCAAACAGCAGTAACCTCAACAGCACAAAGACTCAAAATAAGCCTGTTACATCAAAGACTACATCAAACGGTACTGACGACGAGGATGGTGCAGCCCATCTCAATAACCTGTTTGTACACTTTGAGCACCAAACTGGAAAGAAGCTGTTTAGCTGCACAATGTGCGGGAAAAGTTTTAGCCATCGCAATAACCTCTACCGCCACCAGAGGATTCACACGGGGGAGAAACCGTACAGCTGCATTCACTGCGGCAAGCATTTCGCCCATCAGAGCAACCTGTACGAGCACCTTCGAATCCACACGGGCGAGAAGCCGTACCGCTGCGCCGTGTGCAGCAAGTGTTTCACCCAGCAGAGCAACCTGAAGCGGCACCAGCGGATACACACCGGAGAGCGGCCCTTCGGCTGCACCCAGTGCGGCAAGAGCTTCACGCGGCACTTCTACCTTAAAATCCACCAGCAGGCTCACACGCGAGAGAAACAGGACGGCTTTAAGTTCGGGAGAAGCTGGCATTTTTAATTACTTTTTTGTTTATAGGTTTCTCTAGTTAGCATAATCATGAAAAAATGCTGTACTTTATTCAAGGTCATTGAAAGGGCATCGTCTTCTAAGGGGTGAAATGTAGCACCTGACAAATTAAAATATTACTTGTTCTGCAACACTGTCATGAAATAAATACATTTTCATGTGATTAAAGAATTATTGGATATTTTTGAAGAGACAAACCTCAGTCTCTCTTTTGCTTGCAACGGGTGCTCTGGTTGGTCATCCATCTTCCAATCACATACTTTGGTTTGGTTTGGGTGGAGCCTATCCCAAGCAGCATAGTGTAGAAGGCTGGGGTACAGGGTGGCAGGCCGTCGCAGGACGCATACCTACTGTAGGCAGTTTAAGGATGCTGAATAAATAAATCGCTAACTTTATGGAACCATACAAAAGGTGTGTGCCTGATTTGAACGATATAGGGTACCCAGGTGGACGTCTGATTGGACGATGTAGGTTACCCGGGTGGACGTCTGATTGGACGATGTAGGGTACCCAGGTGGACGTCTGATTGGACGATGTAGGGTACCCAGGTGGACGTCTGATTGGACAATGTAGGTTACCCGGGTGCACGTCTGATTGGACATGCTCATTTGGGCCTTTTCCTCATAGTTAAGGACACAGCTTATTTTCTGCAAGATGTTTATAAATAATTTATATATTTAAAAAAATTTCCTGTCCTTTTTTCAACAGTAACTTTTAGTTTGCCCATGATTGGCATGTACCTTATAACTATACATGTAATTTACATCTTAATCTGTACATTATGTAATTCAGGAATTACTCTATCAGTTATTCTGAAGCAATCAGAAGAACGTTAATTTATTTTTATTGGAAAATTGGAGTTTTGACTCCAGTCGACACCTTCATTGTGGAAGAGAAAAGCAAGATTGATTGATTTTATTAAATTTATTTTAAAATCAAATAAGCTTCTTTTGAGTCATTGAATCTCGTCACCAAATCTCCAGGAAGATTCGAGTCCTTGAGTTCCGCTTCGTGTCATGCTCAAGAATTCAACTTTATAATTCTGGTCCCAAGTCATTAAAGTCTCACATATTTTCAGGTGATGGGGCCATATTGAATAGTTTTATTCTCTATTTGGTCAGTGTGATTTAAATAATTGTTGTATAAGTTGGCCATTGCAAGCCACATTTTTTTTTTTTTACATTTCTTTTTGGCAGATGGTTTAATGCAAATTAGTTGGGACGTTAATGCATAGCATTGAGAGAAAGTCTTGGGACGCTTGCTTAATTCTCTTAAAATATTGCACATTTGGTTGGTTTCATAACAAAAGTCCATTGACCAACAATGTTTAACATACCTGCACATGTCCTCCATACAGGCACTTTCTTTTTATTAAGTGTCATAATTTTTGTGACTGACTCATTCATTTCTGTTCTTTACAGTTGCAGTTACAGTTGTAGTCACTGGCTGCCAAAGGGACACCAAACACAAATGTTTGGCATTATTACTAATCAAAAAGCACCCGATGATTTCTAATGTGATATATCCTTTTTTGTAAACAAATGGATAAAGTAATATTTTTGTTATAAAACTAATTTTTACTGAATTAATCAAGCATCCCCAGACTCTCTGTGAGCGTTGCATACAGCCATGCGGGTTTGTGAACTGAGCAACTGAAAGTAATTGGCCGGAATACGTTATTGTGAAGCGGTCCCAGTCTGGGTGCCCTGCATCCAGTACACGGTGTTAAAAATACAGCAGCCTAAAAGTCATTCATATTCCAAGAACTACTCATTCAGTCAGGCCTTGTCACAGCAAGGCCCCGACCGGGATGCAGCCTGGGAAGGATGCCGGCTAAAACAGCACAAGCATCTTAAAGCACCATATTCTCCTTATCTTTCACAGGCTAAAACAGCACAAGCATCTTAAAGCACCATATTCTCCGTATCTTTCACAGGCTAAAACAGCACAAGCATCTTAAAGCACCATATTCTCCTTATCTTTCACAGGCTAAAACAGCACAAGCATCTTAAAGCACCATATTCTCCTTATCTTTCACAGGTGCACTCAAGCTATTAAGCTCAACTTATTAAAGTCAATTTCTGGTTGCAGTTTTGTTTTGATATATTCAGTGTATGTTTTATTGACTTTGAATTTGAGGGTTAGGTCTTATCCTGCCCAGCTGAGGATGACAGCAGTAGGGTGGGGGTAGGAAGCCCTGCAGCGTGAATCCGGAAACTCGCCATATCAGTCGAGGGTAGTCTGGACAGAGCGGTCTACACACTGTGTGCCGAAGGGGGAAACACACACAAAGACAGGAAGAGCACACTGACTCGAGTGGGAGTCAGAGCCACAGCCCTGGAGGGGGTCAAGCTAATATTCAGCACTCTCAATTTTTACATGGTTCATACAAAAATGAAAATCAAGCTGTAGTGAAACAGGAATCTTAGTCTTGTAGCAGTTTTAATGTAGTATACAAATTATACCATATATATATATAACATATTTTTGTTTATGCATCTGTCAGAATGGGAGATGCGAGTTAGGGGATTTCTTGACGTGCGCAATTTTCAATAGAACAAAATTGAAGGAACAAAAAAAATTCAAATCCTTAGTGAGAAAGACTTAATGAGCATGGAGTCCTGAAAAACTATGTTGTTTCAGACCACTTTTGTGTGCCATGTGTCAGTGACAGAATTAACTCAAGAAATACTTTGTTAAAGCAACTTTGCAGAACCCTCAGAGGAAGGGCTAAAATAGCTATATTAAAATTTGGATACTGATGTCACTTTAGATTTTACCACAAATGCAAATGCTGCGGTACCTATTTGAGAACCACTTATTAATGCTTTTACCAAGTTTTATTTTGGGAGGAAACTATGCAGAAAAAATATGCAAATAAATATATTCAGTAATATTCAAGTAACGTGAACTGTCTGGATTAGAGAATCTGAGGAAAATTTACAAACTTGCACAGAGGACATCCAAAATACCCGCGTATGTCAAACCAGGTCTCGTAGTTCAGCGTGAAGACAGGAAGCTTGCTATGAAGGTATTCCATTTCATGCTCTCATCCTCCTTTTGTAATGCAACTCTGGACACATGAAAGTAAATTCAAAAATAGACACAGAATTTCTGCTAACAGCCCGTCTACACTACACATCTAAAACCAGCATTCATTTATTGCCGGCTTCAAATGGTTTGGATTGAGTAAAATGTATTTTGCCAAAGATGAATGTGGATTATATGTAATATTTCCAGACACTGATTTTACTTCTCTAGCAGAGGGTGACAGTGTTCCTGGAGCCCACCACAGGGCACAAGGTGAGGGACATACCCAGTCACACTTTATGGGCCATTCAGAGCTTTGGAGTCTTTGGACTACAGAAGGAAATCCACGTTTCACAAGAACATGCAGGTTCCACATAATCAAAGCCAGAGACAAAAACCCTAGAGATGTGAAGCCAAGCTGCTGACCACTGAGGCACCAGCGCACAGCAGAGTTAGCGCGACACAAAAGGGTCCTAATATCTGTAGGAACCATTATTTCCCACTTACATGGTGTAACAGCCAAATAGCTACTTTGAGGTACAAGTTATTTTCGCTCCAAACTCTCTTTTATTATCATCCTCAGGATGAATCGGAGATGCTTTATGAACACTGACCGCGGAGACGGAAATTTAATCCTCTGCCATATTTAACGCAGCCGTCCGTTTTCTCTTTGGCGTGAAGCTGCTGGTGCATTTTCAGGTAGGTGAAGCGCGTGAAGCTCCTGCCACAGTGGGAGCAGCTGAAGGGCCGTTCGCCCGTGTGCACGCGCTGGTGCCGTTTCAGGCTGCTTTGCTGCGTGAAGCGCTTGCCGCACACAGGGCAGCTGAAGGGTTTCTCCCCGGTGTGGATGCGCATGTGTTCTTGCAGATTACTCTGGTGAGTGAACTTCCTTCCACAGTATGTGCAGCTGTACGGTTTCTCCCCAGTATGTATCCGCATGTGCTTGTAGACGTTACTCTGGTAACTAAATTGTTTTCCGCACTGAGCACAGCTGTACAGTTTCGCCCCTGTGACAGGATTTCTCCGAGTCCTGTTTTTCATACTGAGGTTACTGCTGTTTGCATGCTCCTTCTCCGCACTCGCGTCCTCAGGGAGCTTCTCTCTATCTTGTCTGTCTAATGGCCGATGCTGCTGTGAGCCCCAGCCCTCCGCCTTGACGTCTCGCTGCCTTCCGCCGCTGTGCCCGGGTTTCGCGTGAAGCCCCTCTATCGCAGCCTCCTCACTGCACACAGGCTGCATCTCAGCTTCCTCTTTAACGACCACTAAAGTCAGCAGGTCAGCTTCGGGCTTCTCCTCGGCTAAACCTTTAGCGGACCGGCTGACAGCAGAGCCCCCTGCTGGAGGGGATGTCTCAGTACAGGGGCGGGTATAAGGGTCCTGAAGCCCCGATTCTCTGGATCTTTCTGAAGAGTGGCAGTCGCCTGCACCCTCAGTCCCCGTATCACTGAAGCCATGTGCAGTGCGGAGTCTCTCCTGAGCGTCTGTCCCTGTGCGGGGATCAGGATCACAAACAGCTTAATACAATTTCACCTGAAACTGATAATTCATATAACCCAATAAAAATTTAAATAGACTTTTATAGAACAGGTATCTCACAATTTTTTTTTTACAAAATTAGTAATGACTTTCATTAAAATATACAACAACAATAACAGAAAAACAAAAGCTAACATTTCCATTTTTATTTAGCTGTTAGTTATTTCTGACCCATGATGCATCACTCGCAGTATTTAGGGTCATCCGGGTCACCTACCCTGGACACAGATGTTCCCTCCTAGGGGAGGGATACTGGTCAGACAGGAGTCCTGCAGCTTCTTCCCCCTCATCAGGGTCGCCTCCTGCTCTTCCTCCCCCCAGTACATCACCTAGACCAGCCATCAGTGACAGCGTGAGGCGCTGGGTCGGCCTGACGCCCCCTCCAGGTCGCCATTACGCGAATCCCTCATGTAACCCGCCCCCCGTAAAGAGTGCTGCACCCTTACCGCGTCCCTGGGAAAGGCGGACTGCAGCACGTCCTCTTCTGAAGCTGGATCCGCGCCTGCTGCGTCTCCCCAGACGTCCATGTCCCAAGTCCTCCCACACAGAGTCACCTCCACGGGGGGCTGGTCCTTTGCTGGGGCCGCCAGGAAAGGGACACAAATGTTCAAGGACGTTAACTTAATTCAACTTTACCCATAAAAACATGCAGTACACTTTAATACTTAGGTAGTTTAACGTACTTTTTATACACATTATAGCAAGATCCCATTATGCAAAATGCCATTTTGAGATACATTTGCACCGAAACTGCGTGTGCATTTCACAGCCTTTTGCAGAAGTGTTTATTAACTAGACGCACTACCTTTCCTCCCGTGAGCGTAGCAGTGCAGCTCTGCACGGCGATCGTGAGGGCTGTCCGGCCGCTTCGGCCGCCTGCTCAGCTCCCCCTCCACTAGCTTCAGCTTCATCCTCAGCGCTTCGTTCTCGCTGCGGCTCCGCGACATTTCCGAGCGCAGCGCGGCGCAGCTTTCATCCACAAGTTTGATTATCTCCGCCACGGCACTTCTGGCTAAAATTTCCATAATGGAGGTTACTTGCGCCTGAAGGGTAGCGGCGCTTGACATTGTTTATGAGCGATTTCACAACAGAGTCTATGTTTTTAAAGATGGCTTTTGCAGTACCCACTCCAAATAGTGATCGCGGGTGCTTTGAGTCTAAAAACAATATCGCATGGATGCATTAGCTTGAACAATGTTGCTTGCCGGTAAACATCGACTGTTTCCGGTTAACCGAAGAAGACACAGCGCAAAGACCGTCGTGTGTTTAGACACCCGCGACTTGTGAATGACCTCAAGTGCCTTTTCCTCCCCGAGCACCCTGCATTGCCAGTTCTCATCAACATCGTTGATGCACATTCGCGTATTCCAGTGTGGAAAACTCTCGAAAATACGTTTGGTAAAATAATAATATTTGCTGACTGACATAGGAGGGTGCTCTGTACTGTACACTTCGAAAAGACGCTTGTTGATTAGCAGCTGTCGATATTACACTTTGATGACTTGTGATACTAAGTCACACGTCCACAATAATTTTTTGATATAGGATATTCGAAACAGGACATGTATATCACTATGCTGGTTTAACCGTAATCCGTTTTCCTATACCGCCGGTTAATGGTGATTCCTGCAGGATATCCCCAGATAAACCACACATGAACACAGATTGCTCTTTACAAACGATTTTAGTAACGGGTACCTGAGACTTCGACTGGAGAAGATTTTCTTCAAAAGAAAAGATGGGATGGATTGAAGAGGGCATTGGAGGGTTTTTGAAACGGGGGGGGGGGGACACAACTTAATTTAAATACAAAGCTTTGTTTATTGGAGTGGTGAATGAATCCAAATTAAAATATTTGGATTCTAGTTCTGATGCCCTAGTAGAGAAAGATTCATAGATACGTCAGATAAATATTGTTGCAGATGCAGAAACACAGATCGTCCTGGATAAGAAGGTAATTAATGCCCAGCATGAGATCTGACATGCCATCAGCATTGTGGATGAGATCACTTCTCCAGGATGTTCCCCCGCCAAAAACATAAGTATCACTGGATAACATTAAATGCCATTCCAACATCTCAGAGACAGAGGGTAGATAATTCTCTTATTCATCTAACAGCAATTTCCAAAGCAGTGTGTAACAAAAATCTGAGATTGTATGGAATATGCAGATTGTCAATGAAGGAGAGAGAGTCATTGTCAGGGAAAGATACACACGTAAAATACGGGGTGTTTCAAATTGCCCCCCAGCACTGCAGCAGTGACAGAGCTTAAACAATTACTGCAGATGCAATACCCAGACACAAGGAACAGATAAAAAACAAGCAAGTCGGCCCCCTTATAGATCCTTGTTTACTGGCCATAGCCCAGTCCTATGACAGAATGCATATAACTTGAGAGGACTGGTTGAAAAAAAGATAAAAGTACCTTTCGACATGCACCTCACTGTAAACTGTGTAAATGATCAGTCTCTATGGGGAATGATACCCAAATAATTCTGTGATCAGAACCGACACCATTATTAAAGAAAGCTGCGCCTAGAACAACAGCAGATGAACTTAGACAAATAATGGATCAAACTGGTTCTAAAACAGGGCTAACAGTAACTGGAGTTGAAACCAGAATACATGTCAGAATACAAATTTCATAGTTAATAATAGAACCATTTGAGTATAAAAGACTTATCTTTGGTGTGTCCTAAACTAGTCAACAATAAAACATAGATTTTATATGGATATGCTTTATATAGATCATTTAAGCTTTATGGGCATTTCGTTCAGACAGAAGAACAGCAGACCCAGAGAGGAAGGATGCAGTGATGCAGTGAAGGCTGGAGGAACTGAAAACATGTCAGCGGTAAGAAGCTTTCTTCACCTTGTCGACTACCGCAGTAGGAGTGTTGTACAGTTTGAGATGTTGGAGCCCTTGATATGCATAATTAGAAAAGACACAAAATTCAATTTTGGACCAGTATGACCAGTATACTGAATACTGTCTCGTGTTATACAAGTATGAGGGGCAACAGCCAGAACGTTAGCTTACTTTCACATGGACACACCAACCCAAACTGCTGATGCAAGTCCAGTATACAGTTAGGTGCTGGGAAGTTTACCCACGACTCGGAAATAAGGTTGCAGTTTGTTTTGTCAGCAGAAGGTGAGAAAAGATGCTCTCAAGCTGAGTAAAAGGCTTTGCCTGTCTTACGAGCTCATCAAAAATTACACCCTTTAACATACTGATGACAGTTTGTTCTTGTAGCTGATCGCAAGCCATTGGAATCCATCTATAATCCAAGAATTGTGTTTAAATTGAGCACTGGCTTCCGCATCGACAACTGTTGAATGTTAGAGTTGCAAACGTACCAGGAAGAGACATATTTGTAGACCCACTGATACTTCTGTCCGGTAAAAGAGCAATGAAGGAGAGTCACTGCCCTGACTCAGAGGAGCAGATATCTTGTCCTGTTTACATGTATGGAGTAACAGAGAGCACTATGGGTAAGAGCACTCATGCTAGCTCCTGAGGGATGCTTAGGAATGGTAGGAGCTGAGCAACATTTAAGGAGTAAAGTATGGTGGCCTGCCATGGACAAAGTAGCAGAGAGAAATTGTAAAGTCTATCATGGATGCCAACTTGGCCCTAGAGTTGATGCAGTTAATACCACTGCCACAAGTACTTTTTACATTTTACTTATTTTAACTTACACCTTTATCCAAAGTGATGTGCAATTGAGGAAGAATTTTACTTACACAAGAATGTGAAAATGACATCAAACACTTCACGCCCACTCCAAGACAGGCTGAGGCAAACAGAGAAGTGGAGCGCCAGAATCGAGAGACATATTCCAAGGGACTTGCGTGAGAAAAGAAGCTCAGAAAGAATGTCAGGGTGCAGAGAGGAACCATGCACAACTGGGCGTGTAAAAGTACCACCCGGCTGCAGACCAAGGCCCAAGCAGCCATCCACACACTCAGACACACACAGAACAAGAGGAGGAGTGCAAATTGTCTGCAGGGGGCAGCACAAAGTGGCATATGCTCATGTGACTGCAAGCAGATCAATTTTTAATCAGACGGGAGAAAGTTCAGCACATAGTTCAACGCGATGCCACACACAGCCTTGCATAAGAGGGCAACTAGAGTGATTTGACCCAGAGGAGCTCAGTCGTAACACCACCTTTACGAAGAGGTACTTTGCTGTTTTAAATACCCTGAGCCCATGTCTGATTGTATTAAATCTACAGCACATCATGTACGGTCACAAAGGCAGAAAAGATTGCTCCAGAAAGTGAGCCTTGGCCATTAGTTTAAAATAGAAAATAATTATAATAATCGATACTTTATTGATCCCGTGGGGAAATTGTCTTTACGCTTCCCTCAACTAGCTCTTTGTAGAGTAAGCCGTCCGCGAAGGGCAGCCACCCATAGCAGCGCCCAGGGAGCTGGGGGTTAAGGGCCTTGCTCAAGGACCCACAGACATGCTGAGGCTGGGTTTGAACCAGCAATCTTCTGATTACAGGCACACAGATATGTGGATAGAAGGAACAGCTTCCAGTAAGGGTGGCTGGAATGCATAGCCTGTACCTCATCTGTTTTAGATGATGCCACCAGAAAAGGAGTCTATAGTCTATAGTATAGTATATACAAGGAAGAAAATGAAGAGTTGGCATGTATGTGATATAGAAAAACTGAAAAATAATGTGGAGTAAGTTTTTTTTTTAAATCAGCCACTCGGTACTCCATCGTGTACTACGTATAATCCTTCACTTCATCATCATCATCATCATCATCACCTTTTTGCCCAGTGTTAGGCTCACAAAAACACACACACACACACACACGCACACGGGCGCCCAAGACTGAGGACAGACATGGACACAGTGGTATGTAAATAACATGGTAAAACTGTCCCGTCACTGAGTGAAAACACATTTATTGGTAACAAACATGGGGACTAATCACACATCTCCAGTCTTGGATGAGCTAACATGCACATACAACAGAGAACATTAAATCATTATACTATATACACAGCAGTGTCCCTGACAGTAATACAGAGGGACGATGCATATAACCCGGATATTATAGATAATGCTATATCTGGCTGTCATACACAGGATTATGAATTATAACCATGATATTATGCACATATTTATATGTGACTGTCATGCACAGAAACACAGAATATAACATGGAATTATACATAATGATGTATGTGATGTTATACACAGGACTAAGAGACATAACTATGCTAATATAGATAATGATGTTTGTGTTAATTGCACAAACAGCCCCCCCCCCCCCCAGACAGAGAGTTCCATTACACAGGACCCAGTGACAGTGACAGACCACATGAATGAAGCGTTATGGAAAGGCTACCAGTCCTGTAGATTGCCCTAAGTGACTTCTTCTTGGATGTCTTGAGGTCCCAGGTCCTATGTCGAGAGCGGAATCTGCCGGCTCCCTGCCAATGGCCAATGGGATTCAGGTCTTGGGGGGCCCACGCTAGTGGGTCTCTCAGGACTCAGACGGCACACACATGGACGAGGCCAAAATCATAGGCTGTCTGGAAGAACGTGCTGAGACACGGTGGAGACCTGACATTAAAAACTAACGGGTGTGAAAATGTGTGTAAAGAGCGGCGTGGCATCGACTCCATCAAAGTATTAATACAGGCTGCAGAAAAGTACAAGTGCAGCCCCAGCAGCTGGTTAACAGTATCCTGCATCGTAATCCTGCAGTCCAGTAAGCTACAATCGCATCAAGACTTCTACAATCTGATTTTCAAGGCTGAAACGCTGTTTTGTTTCTGCCGACTGCAGCCCAGAAACCAGTACCCCGTTCTCTGATGAGTACTGTTGCCATGGGATACCATTTATTACTACACCTGTACTGCTCATTATGGGTAGTCAAATGGCTGGATATTCTACTGTCACAATCGTGGCTAAGTAGCTCAGGGAGCCTTTGATGGGAACCTGGATCCATACTGTTTCACTGCCAGTAAAAATCACACCTCGAAGGAGGTTACAGGCAACTGGGAAATGAAAAGTAGATCGACTTGCTGTATTCCAGAGGAGTGAGTTACGGTCTGTCCGCCACTCAAAATGGCTTCTGCTGGCCACAAGCCTGAAAGAACATATGGCGATAAGGCTCCAAGCTCAATAAAGGCAGAGGAGTGTATCTTATCTACATCGCTCACAGCTGCCATCAGTGTTAAACACGAGAGTGAGCGAACTAATGCAGCAATCAGACGAACCAATCTACAACACCTGGGATGCTGGGATGGACTCAGCACCTAGATCCCAAAGGGAAAATAACATTTTATTGGAAATTAATTCAGCTCTATTGCATTGTGGATAAAACTGCCAAAACTCACGCTCTCAGGTGTCACATTCCAGAAGTCAACAGAAGATACTGTTTTTTCAGTCTGTAACCAAGCTTTAGGCTCATGGGAGTTCTGCTTACACAAAAATGTTGAGGGCAGAAGGAAGATGATTCGTTCAGAGAGATAACCAACCAGATTGTACAGGAAGTGGATCCAAGCAATTTGGGCAGGTGGGACAAAGATATTTGATTGGTTGGCCCCACCTCCTGTAGTTTCTTGGATCTGCCTCTACAATCTGATTGGTTATTTCTAGAAATGGGCCAATCCACTGTTTTTTCAGTTCCAATCCAATTCCGATACACAACTGCCGATATTGATACAGATTCCGATACATGAACTCTATTTCCTTTAATATTTTAATAGAATAAATATATATATTTATACTGTATATATTATTAATATTTTAAGCTAGTAAATACAGATGAAAAACAAATGCCAAAAAATCTTTAATTAGGCCACTAGAAACATAGATAACATACTGTTCCAACTCGTTTGTGCGTCTTGTTTTAAGCGTTTTTGTGCCATTTGCAGTTCAGTTTGAGAATCTTCCAAGTGAGGATATGCAAGTGGCGAATGCTTAAAATGCCCTACAATTTTTCTCCCTCTGGCAACAGCCTCACTCACACTTCGATGCGATAGCGGGCGGCCCCCCCTGTATCACAAGCTACAGCGAGTAGTAAAACAGCCCAAGCTAGTGACTCCCAAATCAGCCATTGCATTTTTCATATTACTGCCTGTGCTTTGTTTGCTGGAATTATCCACTAAACGCTACTCCCACCTCTCAAAACTTTGTTTTTACAAAGATTGCAACTCACTGTGCTACTAGTTACTGTTAAAAGCGTGAAGTACTCTTATATGATTTTCTTACGCTCCCCCTACTGCGAAGGGTATGCACATGACGTCACAGCAGGTGCGCTCACACCCACTGAGGGGCAAATGATGCAATGGCAGCCTTAATATTCAGCTTGAATGTCACAAAAACACATCAAAAATGAGATAGAGCTGTCGTGCGATTGATTGTGCAAACAGATTTAACACGAAATAGGAGCTATCTTTTTAGAGACAGCCAAAAACTAAATAAGTAAGTATCGGAGGTGGATCGGTCACGCAGGGCCGATACCCGATCCGTTAAATAAGTCTGGAACGGTGCTGATACCAGTCCGAATATTGGATCTGTGCATCTCTAGTTATCTCTCTGAACCAACCATTTCTCCTTCTGTCCTCAGAACATTTTCATGTAACTAAAACTCAAATGAGTAACTTTAACTGTTGTCCTCCTACTAAACTGTTGGCAGTTTAGCATAGGTGTGATTTTACGTTGTGCCAAATGCACCCTGAGTTTTTTTTTTTTGAGGTCACAACTTGTAATAACAATGAATGTCAACACTATGTTGCTAAATCCTGTTCTGGACTAAAAATTCTTGTACTAAACATTTTAAAATTACACAAATCAGAAATCCTTAAAATGTCCTAACAATAAACATCAAATATAAACACCCCCCTAAAAAGAATAAACAAAAATGTGTAGAAGATCACTATAGATCAAAACACTGGAAACAACTGACTCATGGATATTTTTGTCTGCCCACAGGCTTTCGTCTTGTCACTTTCTAATTCTGTGAGCGAAAGCAAAGCCTTTCTGTATGTGAAGCTCCAGACCTAATGCGCATGGAAAAAATGACCCCGTTTGATGGTCAACATGCTGTTGATTGGAAATGGCCCAACAGCATAGCGTGTGAGACCAGCAGATAAAAATGGAATGACCAATGACTCCTGGAGATCACAGATGTCTATATTTAATTCATCGGCCTCCAGCCTCCATCAATGACATCAGCTATAAGCCACACCTAGAACGATTGGATTATAGAACCTGCAGTTTCCATAATGGGCATAAAATACAGAAAAGCCCACAATGTTGCCATTATCCCTTGGAAGAACCATATTCTGAAACCCACAATATAGCCCATATCCCTCATAGGAGATGCATTTAAACCTCTGTCTTCCGCATTAGGGCAAAGCTCCCAGTGCAATCAAGCTTTCAAATGCGACTGACCACAGATCCATGGCAGCCATGTGAGAGATGCTTAGGACGTGATCCAGCACCGACATTAGGAGGAGACATGTAACAAAGTTAACAGCAACATGAAGGGAAGACGTCCGACGTCCGCATGAGAGAGTTTGAAGGTGACGAGAAACAAAGACCAAACTAGCAGCTTCCCCATGCTGATCATGCTAAGCTAGCACACGCTAACAGCCTCGAGTCAGGGGATCACGGTCGACCCGAGGCAGGCCATGTATCATTCATCAGCCATTGCTGCTGTGTCAGGTTTCAGGATCCCACAATCTAGCTATAGCAGGACCATGCATCTTAAATCAGCTCCTGCTCCATTTAGATTTATAGCTATTGCAAAGTTAAGCTGCCAAATTTGTCCACATTGACATTTGCTTAACCTATTTTTCCAAATCAAACACTCTCTACATTTGAAATATGACAATGCAAACCATGACCTAGGCAAACCTGAAGCATTAAAATATAAAACATGCTCCCTGATATGTGGTCTCCCTGATATGATGGAACTGTGAATTCTCCAGGCTAAACTCTGGTCAGGGCTACATCACAAACTGGAAACCTGAACTAGCAGAAAGCATTCTCCTATTTCACAGCGAAATGCATTTTTCTCTGTCTGAGCGCCTCCTACAGGCCTTCTAAGCTACTGCAATGTGCTAGTCACCAGCAGTAAGACAGAGTGTTAGCAGTTATGCACGGCAAGGTACTCTATCGATAAAGCCATGAGCTTGGCAAGAGGGAGGTCCCAAAGGAAGGCATTGGGGGCAACGGTTCAAATGTAGAAAACTCAACTCACACAGCATGCACAAGTAGATGTTCACTCTTATACACTCAGTCCTGCAGCCCTGATCATTGTTCAGCTCTGACTTGAGTCATTCTCTTATTATGACTTGGGGCCATCAGGGCAGAATAAATGGCCTTCACTGCAACTAGAGAAAGAAAGGAAAACGTCTGTGATTTATTACTTGGTTCCCCGCAGCACACAGCTTCATCAAGTCCATTAGGCATCTGTCAGTTACTGCTGGTTCCCGATGGCAACTGTCCCATGGTTCCTCTAAGGGACCCAGTGGTCCTGTGAAGTGCTGTCTGATTGCTTATCTAAAAAATAATGTGGAGTGGATGGAACATGAATGGCATATGAACGAGCCAGCCGCCCTCGACATCTCCTATCAGGACCTAGCCCTCTGACACGCCGTCACCCGATTTGCTATGTGAAAAGTGGGCGGAGTCAGGGATGTGTTACCCAGAGAGACAGTTTTAAGGGGCTTCACCTGGCCTCTGTGACCAGCCAATCAGATACTGAATGGAAAAACAACAAAATCTGCAAATCTCTGATAAAAAAAAAAGAAATGAATAACATCTTATCAAACTGGTGTGGAAAAATATTAAAGAAAAAGTAGACAACAAAAATGCATGTATTCAATGAATTAATGTATTCATCTTTATACTTTATCGGCAGCATGAAGTTTTCAGATTCAGATGAACATTCGTTTGTGCTCCTCCAACATGCCGAGTCTCCTTCTACTAAGACACACGAAAAGACTCCACTTTCACTAACTCAGTAAATTTCTGTTCTGCGGCTTCCTGCTGTAGCCGTGCTGCACGGCCCAACCCATAACCTAGTTCAGATGTTTACTGTACAACACATAAGCACATAAACACAGCTATGGTCTCTACTGTCTATATCCATGTTTTCTGTGGTGTAAAGCTTGATTGGGAGGGGGTGGGTAAAGGTGTGTACAGTAGATAAAAGGATACGGCATGTGTGGTACATTCTTATGCGCTAGTTACAGCACTTACAAAAAGTCTTGGAACGCTTGCTTAATTCTGTTGCAAATTTACAACTTTCATGACAATCACTAATTAAAAAGCACCCAGAATGCTTATCAATTACATGTTTTAACACGGAACAACTCCTTTAGAACTAGAATGTAGGTTTCAATTTATTACTGATTTTTTACTTTAAACTACTGGTTGTTCCTAATGTGATTTTTTTTTTGTAAACGAATGGATGAAGTAATGATTTTTCTTACAAAACCGATAAATTTGCAATATGTTCACTGAATTAAGCAAAGGCCCACGACCTCCTGTGAGTTCTGTATGTAATGTTTATATGCTTATTATAATTTCCAGAGTGACCTTCATGATCCTAACAGGTTCTCTGCATTTATGATGCAGTAGTATGGTTGTGTTGGTAGGGGGGTGATATGTGACGTCAGTTAAACTGTGGCTACTCCCCCGAGCCCTCACACAACCTCTGTGGTGGGGGGGAAGGTCACCCTGAGCTAAGGGTCCTACCGGAACAAAATATCCCTGCCATGCTCTCACTGGTCAACAAAGCCCACACTACAGTTTGCGGTCTTTCTGCTTTTCTCCCATCTCACTCCTTCAATGCCCAAATATGGTTGGACATCACCCCCCCCCCCTCCACCCCACCACGGAGCTGCTTCACAGTATACATCCTTAAGTGCTACAGGTAAAATGCTGGAAAGTTCTCATCTGTTTCATATTCCTCTAAAGGTTAATGACAGAAACGGTTTGCGCATTACAACATGCCTAGTAAAATCGAGCTCCGCATTTGGGCTCCTATCCCCGACCGAGTGGCCCTCTTCCGATCCCACGCATCCGGGAAGCCGCAGCAGTTCTGAAAGCCCCGCTCGGCGTGGCTGATGCCTGTTCCGCCACACGCTCCGCCCAGCGTTCTCAGACCACAATGGGAGTGTCCGAGCAGACGGAGCTGACGGACTCTGCGTCCGACGTCTTCCTGCGATTGCCATCCCGCCGGTCCTCCGGCTCACACTGCTCCCCCGCTGCTCCTGGGCTCACTTTGCCGTTCTGGCCCTGCAGCTCCTTGGGGTCGATGAAGGCCACGTGGCGGGCGAGGCCGGCCCTTCCACTGGGCTCTCCGTGGCTGGGCGTGGAGCTCAGGGCAGACGAATGGACGCTGTCCTCACGGTGCGCCTTGGCCCGGCAGCAGCCCGGGCAGCAAAAGCACCGGCACGGAGTCAGGTACAGATAGACCAGCACCAGCACCACGCTGGCCAGGCAGCCCACCAGCGTGGTGTAGGCCGTGTTCATGGAGTCGTGGCCGCCAGCTAAGGTGAAGTTATGCACCCTCACTGACACATAGATCGTCTCGTTTAGCACCTGGCCCGTGGCGAAGCAGGCGTAGATGCCAGAGTCCTCGAGGACAACGGGACTGATCTGCAAGTTGCCGTCTTTGAGCACCACCACGCTCTCGTTGCCATCTGGAGGCACCGGCATATTTCCTGGCCTCATCCAGGCCTTGGCCATGTCCCGCTGCCGCGTGTCACAGTTGAGAACGAGCGTCTGGCCCAGGTAGGCCTCTTGGTCAGCCGCCTTCATGGAGCTGCAGTTTAGGTAGTCCCTGTTGAGGTCAAAGATGTTCACCGTAGCCTTCTGCAGGCCAGGGAGGGAGCAGGTGTGGTCATCCTTGTAGTCTACAGCAGAGCTGAGATGCCGGAGGTGCCACTGGGCCACCAGGCTGTACAGCTCGCAGGAGCAGGGCAGAGAGTTGTTGTGAAAGAACAGGCCATTCTTGATCCAGGCAGGCAGGGCCTGGAGCTCCTGGATGGGTAGGACCTTGATCCTGTTGGAGGACACGTCCAGCAGAATCAGCTGCTCCAGCCGCGTCTTCTCCTTGACCAGCTCCAGGGGGAAGCGGGCCACCTGATTTTGACTCAGGTAGAGTTTCTGCAGGCTGACCAAGCCCGAGAAGGCGGAGCGGTCGATCTGGGAGATGTGGTTGTTGTATAGCAGCAGAACTTCCAGCTGCTCTAGCGGCTCGAAGATGTACTCGTCCAGCTGCCGCAGGGCATTGGAGGACAGGTCCAGGTGGCGCAGCTGCCTGACGTAGAGGAAAGCCTCAGTGGAGATGAAGGTCAGGCCGTTGTGGCTGAGCAGTAGGCTGTGAAGCTTGGCCAGCTTGACGGTGGTCCACTCAGCCCGCAGCCGTGTGATGCTGTTGTAGCTCAGGTCCAGCACGGCCGTGTACTGGGGCAGACCCACGGGCACGACAGTCAGGTTCGTCCTGGAGCAGCTGACGATGTTGCTGGCACAGACACAGGTCATGTGACAGTTCAGGGTGGAGCCGGCGGCCCAGGGGAGCAGCAGGGTAAGGCTCAGCAAGACAGCGGGGCTGGGAGGGTGCCGAGCCGGCTGGCACTCGGCGCTGGGACAAAGCATTACGGCTGCTCCTGCGGGTTCGGGGGCGTCTTCCGTCAGCAGGGAGTCTCACTACAGCCCCAGGCAGCGGGGGCCGGATGCTCCGGCATTGTTAGCAGACAGCTGCAAGGAAAAGAAAAGTAATGCCTGTCAGTGACGGGCAGGACGTGAATAACATCGTCACACACGCGTGTGCCCTCACAGACAGCTCCACGTGCTCTTGCACACAAAAAAGTGTCAGCCTCTGCTTTCCATTTACCCAATGCATGATCCACGCACAGTAGCACTGGTTGGGGGTTCGAATCCTGCCTCCGCTCTGTGTGCATCGAGTTTGCATGATCTCTGTCACACAGCTATCCTCCCACGATGCTAAATTGGTGTCTCTAAATTTCCCATGTGTACGTGCCTGGTGACGGATTGGCACCCTGTCTCGCGTGTTCCCCCCCTGCCTCGGGCCCTATGCTGGCTATAACAGGCTCACTGTGACCCTGACTAGGACAAGTTATTAAAAGATGGATGATGATCTATGCAAATGGAACCTATTTAAGGTGACAGTAGGACTGGCAAGCACGGTTTTTTGGCAAGCAGGCAAAGAAACACGAAACGTTTCATGGTGACCAGCCCACGTGCTGCTGGTATATGTCCAGCTAACTAGCAGCTCCTGGACGGCCCCTCACGAGAGGTGGAAGTGTTGCATTGCACCATTTTGTATATGCAAACAATCCCACTGTCCTGTCCCCGTAAAAGTCGCCCTTTTTAAAGTTCAGTAACAGCATGAATCACGTTAATCCTTATTTTCGGCAGGATTTTCACGCTCGTTGCATTTAAAGTTAGTTGAAGCACATAACGCGTTTGTTTATTACCAGCCTTCTCACTGGGATTGACTACGCCAAATAAAGTTATGATGTGCTCTTAGAAGAAAAACAAAATCACAAACGCGGAGCGGACAAAACACGCCCCAGGGTGACTGAAATGTAACGGTACCATGCATTTCGCTAGAATAATCTGTTTGGTTATTAAGGATGACATTACGAAAGAACAAGATGACGGAAAGGAATGCAAACGCATCTCTGTCTTTGGCACCCCCTTTAAATTCGCGCACTCTTCTGCTTTATCCGCTCTCCAGATAAATGCGTTGCAAGTGCATTAAATAATATTCGGCATGCGCCCTTGAATTAAAACAATTGCCCGAAAAGGTCTCAGTCACAGCGTTACCTCTTGTAGGTGTCCGGAACATACTGGATCGGATCGGAACGCGGTACGCGGAATCAGTTCAGGCTTTTTCATATGCGGTCACCGGGGCCTCGCAAGCAAACGTCCCTCCCATCTGGAAGGAAACAAGACAGAACAGCCGTGTAATGGGACTGCGACAGCTGTATTTCTTATGCGAGATGATGTTTCTTATTCCCTCTCCGTGCGGCGTCTAGGCGAGGCTTGCGGTCTTTGCGTTTATTTCTAAGAGGCGCCACTGCTGCCGCTGTGCCCAGCACGCTGCGGATCCATGCGGAGGACGGGCGGTGAGGCGCCGCTGGTCAGCACTCGCTCCGGCGCTGAGCGCAGCACACAGACGGCGTCGTACCCGGCAGGTGTCCGTCCAGCTGCTGGCAGTACAACAAAGCCAGCGATCCGCGGTCCTGTGACGCAAACCTCATCCCTGACAGTTTGGCCAATGTCAAGACTGGGGATGAGCAACTGTGATTTCCGTGTCCCAAGACTAATAGAAAAGACGCAGGGCGGGGAAGGTCGCTTTGGTGAAAAGGGATGCACCCCATTATATGTGATTTTTTTCAGCTCAGCCTTCCTAGTCTGGCTGCTTCTTTGAGCTTCCTGTTCCCATTATTTATCGTGTGTCAGATCAGCGCGCTTAAATCACCGTAGATTGTGTTCGGTATCACTACGCTGGAGTTTCCTTTCACTGTTATTGCCGTCTTCAGCGCTTGCATTACTGATTATGGAAATAAAACTATACAAAATGATGAAGATGGCTCTTATGATGTGAATTTTAAAGAAATCGTCAATAACAGCACATAAACATATTGGGTATATACTAGAGACAATTTTTAAATTCGTTTAAAATGCATTTTTAGCGCTTGATATAATAAAAATTCAGCTACGTACTTATTACATTAAAACGGAATGTAATCACGCATATTTTGCGCACCCCACTGGAATATTTTTTTTATTAATATTTACAGTATCTGCCACATTTTCATATCGTATATATGCGGTGAAATTATATTCCTTGCCAACCTTTAAATTTTAGAGTAATTGATTGGTTTTCAAAACATAATCGTACAATACTTGCCCACTGTTGATATCATACATTGTAAGTAAAATTAATACTGATAAACCGAAAAATTTTGTATTGAAACCTAATTAATCCCGCTATTACTTTCTTCCTGAGTATTTTTATTGCCTATTCTATTTTCTGGCGTGGTACAGCTCTATAAAACTGGGTTGACGGGAGCATTGACGTAGCTGAATCGTTAATTCAACAACGCTGGTAATATTTTGGTACGATACCACTCATTAAGAAGAGTGAGGAAACATTTAAGAACTCGCAGCGTGCGACTGCTTTGACTCCGTTCCGTTAATGGAAGCTTGATGGGGTGCATCGTGCACCTGAAACAGCCTAATCAAGACTAAAATGGACTAGGCACATCATTTACACGCCCATAAAGAGGCTGGGAAATGCATCCTCTAATTCTAAGCTAATCATGTCCCGAGCCAATACTTCCCGGCGGGCTGAGTGATGCAACATGGACGTCTAAGCAAGACTGATCTTTTAAGATACTATACCAAAAGCAAAAGTGACATGTGATTGCCTTTGTATTAGTATGCGCTCCTAACGCCATCGTTCTGCTTCACTGGCGGTTCGATCGGAAAACACACGTAATACAAACGTAATACAAGAAACACTATCTGTACAGATTACGCCATCTGTAATACAACAGACACTATTTGTATAGATAACTGAAATCCGATGTCATTAAGAAGCTTTTAAATGTGATATGGTAATCAAACTTCATTGGTTTTGGACCACGAATCTCAATTCACACAAATATATACATCCCGGCGTTATATTACATAAAAGTGCTTATCAATTCACAGGACGCGAGACTTATTAAAACTCCGACAGTAAATGAATAACGGATGGTATAGGCCTATTCAAACCTGAGAAAACCGGTGTGTAATTTAACTTAACGTGCCTCATTAGTGTTCTGGTACTGTCGTATGTGTCGTTGATTAGTCATTCGGGTAATTGACCGTGTTCTGGGCTGGTGGCAATTAGACCCCAGTCTTATTTATTCTCCATGATTAGAATTGCCATTGCCCTTAGAGAGTAGTGCTCAGTTGGTTCTTATAGGCAGATGTTTGTTTTATGGGGGGCAGATGGAGTGGGTCTATTTACTTTGTGCTTGTCTGTCAGCAGGTGATGGTTTGGGTGGCTTGGGGGGGTCATGGTTTTTGTTGAGTGGCATCTTACTTTGAACTTCTGGTTAGCCAGTTCCTGGTTTAGGGATTTATGACCCCTGGGAGCCAGAAGGTGGCATGAGTTGCCTAATGACATCAGACTACCCTTCCATCTTCAAGAACCTCCAAGACCCATCTGATCCATGAATTCCTCTACTAGCCTGATCCCTTTTACGTTCCCTAAAATGTCCATAAGTTGCACTTCTCATCACTGAATAGTCTTATTAGGTTTCTTGGTTTGTTAGTTGTTGTGTAGCTACGACACTGCTTACACGTCTACCTGATCGTTCACTGGAGGTTCAGCCTAGCCTCACCTATACTTTGTTGCGTCCTTGATGGGGGGCAGCATGTGACTCAGTGGGCTATGTCTCTGTGCCTGTGATCAGAAGATCACCAGTTCAAGCCCAGCCTTGGTATGTCTGTGGGTGCTTGAGCAAGGTCCTTAACCCCCTGGTCCCTGGACACTGCAACAGGTGGCCAGCTTGTTCTTCCCTACAGAGAACCAGGGGGGGGGTGTAAAGAGAATTTCCCCATGAGGATTTATAATGTATCATTTTCACATCGATAATGTTTTAGGCTTATTTGCATCACTTGTATTGCTAATGTCTAAAGTGTCTGCTAAAAACATTGGAAAAACTTGCACAAATTGTCAGCTATATGATAGAGTGATTTTTACACTAGGCGTACATTTATACACGCTAAGATTCAGGTTAAGTTATTGACTTTCATGCTGACGTCAGCATATAATTTCAGCACCCTTTATCGTGGCGGGGGCAACGCTGTAAAAACGAAAAGAGCTTTCAGTCAAGACTGTCAAGTAAATATGGGAGTTACTGTGTCTGAGATCTAAACCCGCATTCGGTCACTGCTATTCAGATTCGTCTCTGAGTCGTATTGGCCAAGGTGTTGCATAAAATAATCCATCCATCCATCTCCTATAACCGTTGTCTGGAGCCTAGCCCAGGACGGGGCGCCAACCTACTGCAGTAAAATTAAAAATGAATTTATATATGGCATTTGATATATAGGAATATTTAATAGAATGAGCGCAGTCTCTATAAATGCTGTTCGCATATGCTGCAGTATTCCGCGAAATAAAACTAAATACATGCGTGGTTAGTGGCCTTTAAAATGGTGTTACTGTACCTTTAAATTTTGTTCGACTTTTTCAGTTCCTGGAATTTCTACGAACTTGCGTAAATTGCCTGTACTCCTGTTGTCTTTAAGAGACTCAGAAAAGGGGACTGATTAACGTCTCTTTCTCACTTAATTGGAGTTGGATTCGTCCCTGTGGGGCTACTGTATTAGTCAGAAAAGAACAATGCAATGTATTAATCTAAAAATTTTCAGCGGATGTCTGTAACGTATAGGCATTGTTCATAGCGGGTCGGTTTTTACCGTGGTAATAAGTCTGCAGTCTGCACATACCAAAACGCGAGATTAACAAAGGAGACACATAACTACTAGTGTAACTATACAACATCTTACCGAATCCGCAACAATGGCAGGTGGTAAGTAGCTATTATGTTAACTAAGCAGTGTTATTGTGTAGTGCCGGTCCTGGCAGTTTTATGGTAGAAAACAGCATATGCAGTACAGTGGAGTTTCCACCCCCTCCTTTTCTATATTTAAGTTGTGAAATTACCACACGATGCCTTCATGAGCCTGACAGACCTTTCATAGAGATCACATATCTCTGTGACAGTATTACTGTATCGGTCAGCGATGTTTTTACTATCCGACAGCGCCGACGTCTGGGAGTTAGAGCATAAATAGTCTAATCCCGTCTACATTATTATCATTATACATTTTACTGTATATAGTATAATATGAGCTATAAGTAAAATAAAGAAATTAGGCCTAGCTGCCTAGTTTTGTTAGTATTAGGCCTATGTATCATTTCATGTGTAGGCAGTAAAAGGTTTGCATATAAATACTTGTTTATGGTCATAAAATTTTGATTTGTAGCACGGATTACCTTTCTAATTTATTAATCCTGATCCTGAACATGTTTTTTCCATTCTTACTAACTTACAGTTGGACAGAACACAAGTGCTATTTCTTAAGTTCATATAAATCCTGTTACATGTTTATTTTTAATTATTACTCTTTACAGTTCAGCTTGCTTAATGTCCTTTTATTGGTCTCCACATCTCATTCCAAAGTTCATAAACCTACGGTGAAAGAGAATGTCAGTGTGAGCTGTTATTTAAGTTTTGCTCGATTCTCATATACAATGCCGTGGTTGGGGAAGGAATTATAAGATAGGCCCTCACAAAATCATCCCCCCTCCGGGCAAATTCCCGATCTTCCCGATGGCCAGTTTACTCCTGCCCTTGTGAAAGTCGGGTAGCCATGTTTTCCTTTATCTTAAATATAGTAAAACGTGTGATTCCCATTGTCAAGAGGAGGACTGCATTCGGTCACTGTGTAATGTATTGAAACATAATGGGGGCTGAGCAGGTGGAGGAGGGTGGCGCCTGCTGGCAAAACGCGATCCGACAATGAAAGAAATTCAAGTTCAAGTCCCATGAATAATGACAAATACAATTGCTGCTTCCATGCCACCTAGTAAGATGGATGGCCGGGCAGTCCCCTGTCACCTGGGGCGCAGTTCCCCCGGTCTGGGGCTTTTACTTCCCGTTTGATATGATTTCGCCAGCCTACTGTCTGCGTATATTCCTGCGGTCTGGGGCTTTGTCTTCTTTTTTTCTTGTGTGTGTCTCTCCAGTGTCATGCTATGTGCTCCTCTGCTGTCTGGGCCGTGCACCTCCTCCTGTCTCGCTGCTCATTACGGAGCCGTGACTCGATGATGTCTCTTCTCCGATACAAGAGGGCGCTGCTTCAACATTTTTTTCAACATTTTAAAATGCATCGCTAAAGTCAGCGCATGCACGTATCCTCGTAAGCCTCATAATCACTATAGCACGAGCGAGGAAGCCCACCTGCTCCGAGAGTCTGTGGTGCGTAAGCTGTGATTGCAGTTCTCAGCTTTGATACATGAATACTTCATATAAACCCTTCCCATTTCTCGCCTTCATTTTTCATAAGTGTTCTCCTGTTCATTTCTCCTGGCTTTTAATACCATGCGTATATGCTTCATCCCAGAACAACCAATGGTGTGTGAAAATGAGAGGGGGGGGGACTTCGGCTGTGCCGTGTTTCCCCCAGATTCCTGCGCCGGCTCAGTTACGCCACAGAGGAGAGTCGCGACTGAAAGCTGCAGTGTTACTCCGTCTCTTTATTTGGCAAATTTTACAAAGACTGTGGCAGAACAAAAGAGCAGAATGACGTACTCTAGACATATATGCTCTCTGTTCGTGAAATCAGAAAAACAATGTTAGGAACACTCAAAACATAATCTGGCTTTTTGCTTTGTAAAAGCATCCCTGTTTGGGATTACAAAGATTGGGGGGGAAGTAAAAAATAATCTGGTGAAAGATTATTAGGAACTTCTTACCTTTCTAGGTAGGTCCAAACATTAATGTAAGCACAGTAATTGTGGAATCTGGTTGGTGAGAACTCTGGGGTTTGATCTGGACAATGAAAAGAAGTGAAACAAGCAGGAGGTGGATGTGGGTCTCGAATGTATCCTGGTCACTGGGGCAGAAGCAAATCAGAACATATGGATGCGCTATTGATGAATGAAGGATACGTGAAACCGATAAGTACGGAGTTCCCAAGCTCTTGGCTTGGCCTTTCAAGACAGCCTGTCAACACACACGTGTATACAGTGCTTACTTATTAATGACTCAGTCTCTGAGCGCTGATGGGTCACTGTGGAGTGCCGGCAACCGGCAAAGCATGGAGGCAAAGTTACTGAAAATTGCTGGTTGACCGACATCATAAACTATCAAGTCACAGTCTCTTTAGAGGCCAGTGAGGACACAGTCGTCCGCATTCACAATCTGAGGCATAATTGGGGTCAGGCTTGCCTCCAGTTCCCGGAGAGACCCTGCCTCGTAACCTCGCAGTAATGGCCGCCCCAGATTCACGGACTTTACGCAGCAGCTGCTGCCCTGGTTGCTATAGCAACTGCGAGTCACAGAACCCAGCGTGATTAGAGGAAATAGACGGATGCCCCTCAGTAAGGGGGGTGAGCGGGGCGGAGTCACCACTGCAGTCGGTGTCCTCTTCCTTGCCTCTGCAGTCCCCCCCCCC